ACTGGCTCCGCGACTAACTCTGAGCTGCAGGAGCAACGGACCCACGGGCGACTGGCGCAGCTGGTGACCGGAGATTGTAGCCTCCGGACTACTAGCTCGCTGGGCTACCGGAGATTGTAGCCTCCGGACTACTGGCGCTGCTGGCGACACGACAGCTGCCTCCGCCCAACCTCCCTCTAACTGTCTCACCCCCCTTTCACACACCCCCTGCTGCACCCCTAGGTTCATTCACACTCCACCCCCTAGCACCACTCCGTCGACTCACACACACCCAACCCCCTTCAGCGGCAGCTGCATTAGTGGGAGACGGAGGAGGAGGAGGAGCAGGTGATGCCTCACATCCGCCACCCCCCACCCGCCATCCCCAAACCCTTAACACAGGGTAGGGCCGTAGATGGCGGGTAGGGAGAGTACGGGGGGGGGGGGGGGGGGGGGGGGGGGAAGGGCCGCGACGAAGACAGGAGGGGCCGACGCGCGCCCCCCCCCCCCAGGGTCGCCTCGACAGGCGACGGGAATTGGGCCGGGGCAGAGCCGAGGCAGGACCGGGACAGGGCCGGGGCAGGGTCGGGGCCGGGCTGCGACAGTGCAGGAGCAGGGCCGGGGCAGAGTCGGGGCCGGGGCAGGTCCGGGACGGGGCCGCAACGGCCCCCCCAGGTCGTCGCGACAGGCGACGAAACCCGCCGCGCGTCTCGGGGCGCACGACGGGCTGTGCACCGTCGCGCGCCACGGGGCGCACGACGGGCTTTGCACCGTCGCGCGCGACGGGGCGCACGACGGGCAGGGCTCCGTCGCGCGCCAGCGGGGCGCACGACGGGCAGGCAGGTAGAAAACCGCCGCGCGCTCGAAGCGCAGCTGGCGACGAGTAGCATGGATCCAGGGGATCAAAACACCGCTGCTGTCCGCCTTGCGCCGCAAGGGGAAGACAGTGGTGTAACGTGTGTAGTCGTCAACAACCAGCAGGAAGTAGCGCTCCTGGTCCGTCCCGTCGACGGGGGCCGGGCCCCAAACGTCCATGTGGAGAGTCTGCGAAGGAGCCGTGGTCGGAGGAAACTCGGAGGAGTGAGGAGCGGCGCGCTGTCGCCCCTCCACGCAGGGAAGGCACAACGGGGCAGGCGAGCGTGGGAGGGAGGGCAGGGACCTGGGAAGCCCAGAGACAAGGAGACGGGAGTGCATGCTGCGGAGATGCGGCAGCGAGGGGTGACCCAGGCGATGGTGCCAGAGGAGAGTCTGGTGATAGAGTACCCGAAACGAGCAAGATGCTGCAAGCTGACCAGACGCAGACAACCAACTCGACGCAACCACCTGACCTGACTCAGCCACCTGTGCAGATGCAGTGGTCAGGGTGTATAGACCGGACCCAGGCTGACGAGTGAACGTATCAAGGTGACTGCCAGTCTGTGAGCACTTCCAGATCGCCACACGCTGTCCTCCAGGAATGAAGGTGCCAACCCATTCATCCTGGAGAACTGCGTTGCTCAACAAGTTCGTCGAGAACGCAGGGAGGTGGAGACCTGAGAGAGACCCGGAGGGGACTGCCGGACACGGGAGGACAGCGGAGGCTCGCGCAACTACTGGGCCCCCAGTGGGGTCAGCCAGTGAGACTGGGACAGGTGGTGCGAGTGGTGTGACTGTGGTGCAATCACGAAAGAAGCAACGTGACGTGGCTGAGTCAAGCGTGAAAGTGTGCAAGACCTCAGCTGAGGCAGGACCTGTGGCAGTAGACGTACTAGCACCTAGAGCGTCAACAGACTCACGAGCATCTAGATCTGCAGCAGACTCACTAGCACCTGGAGCGACAGCAGACTCAGTAGAACCGAGAGTAGCAGCCTCTACACGACCAGGGACGCATCGCTGAGAAGCACAGACGCGAGGTCGCCGAGGCCACATAAAACCAAAACCTCCACCATCAGGACTACCTCGCTGAATAACCCACTCATGAAGCTGCTGAGGGGTGGGGTCGTCCGGGAGAGGCAGTGACCGCTGCTGTCCACCCCTAGTTGCTGCAACTGCTATGATAGTGGCCATGACAGGCAATGACGGACAGTAGTAGGTCCAACACCTCCAGCACCAGCAGCACCTCCAGTACTCCCAGCCGCACCTCCACCAGCAGCAGCAGTAGCACGAGCAGCAGTAGCACAAGCAGCAGCAGCAGCAGTAGTAGCAGCAGGGCGGCTCGGTGGGGCTGGGCGGCGGCTCCTCCAGCACTCCCAGCAGCACCTCCACCAACAGCAGCAGTAGCACGAGCAGCAGCAGCAGCAGCAGTAGTAGCAGGAGGGCGGCTCGGGCTGGGCGGCGCGGCTCGGCCTGGGCAGCGCTGCTCAGCAGGGCACAGCGCAGCAGTCGCAGCATGTGCAGCAGCAACGCGCTGTTTTTGTTTTTTTGTTTTTTTTTAATGATTATTATTATTATTTAGGGTTGCGGGGCGCCCTGGCGCGCTGGGCTGCGGTGCACGCTGGCGCGCTTAGCAGCGGGCTGCGGGGCGCACTGGTGTGCTAGGCTGCAGAGCGCGCTGGCGCGCTGGGCTGCGGGGCGCGCTGGCACGTTTAGCAGCGGGGCGCGCTGCCGCGTTTAGGGCTGTGGGGCGCGCTGGGCTGCGGGGCTGCTCGCGGGCAGAAGGGGCTCGCAGGGCAGGGGCTGCTCGCGGGCAGCAGTGGCGCTCGGGTCAGGGGCTGCTCGCGGGCAGCAGTGGCGCGCGGGGCAGGGGCTGCTCGCGGGCAGCAAGGGCGCTCGTGGCAGGGGCTGCTCGCAGGCAGCAGTGGCGCGTGGGGCAGGGGCTGCTCGTGGGCAGCAGGGGCGCGTGGGGCAGGGGCCGCTCGCGGGCAGCAGAGGCGCGCGGGGCAGGAGCTGCTCGCGGGCAGCAGGGGCACACGTGACAGCAGGGCAGCGCACTAGGGCAGGCAGTGCGAGTAGCTGCAGGGCAGCGTGACACTGTGCGAGAGGGCCGGACAGCGCAAGGGCGCTTCGGGCAGGAACTAGCGGAACGATCGGTGGGCCCTAAAAACCTAACAGGTTTCCTGCTCTGAATACCATGTCAGAATCCCAACCACTTACACCATTGGGATAAAAGGGCTTGTTTTAGTAGCGGGTAAGTGCGCCCATAACCCCCCAGGCTAACAGGCCTGTAACCCCCAAAGGATCAATCGGGGATCTCATAGTGCAAGTCTTCTGACACCCCCCCACACTGGGAGGTCCAGGACTCGGCACAGCGGCAACGGCCTGAATGTGCATACACTGGGATTCGAACCCGAGACCGCTCTGATACCATGTCAGAATCCACTGTGCAGGAATGGTTGACTAGCAAGCAAGGATGAGTACATAAAGTGTTGTACTCAGTAGAGGCTACCCCACTACAACCTACACATACAAATGTAATTTGATAGGCTTTCCCAACCTCACCCTCACCCCCTCTCCATAGCCCCACTCTTAACCAGAGTCCTCATCTCTCCCACCTCATCCAACTCCTCCTCCTCCTCCCTCACCCCTGCAAGCTGCTTCCCACCCCTTGCACTTACCACCCCATACCCGTCCCTGTCCCTACTTTGTACTCGGCTCCCCTTCCTTGCCACCAAACAGCACCCTCCTGACCGGGGTCCTCATCTCGCTGACCTCATCTAGCTCCTCCTGCTTGGCCCTCGCCCCGGCCAGCTGCTTCCAATGGGATATCTTGCTCTTCAGCCACTGCACCTCCTTGAGATATTCTTCGATGCCTCGTTCACGATTGAACGCACCCGCGTGGCATAGCTGCTCACACACAAGGAGGGGAGGAGAAAAGAGGAGGGATGAGAGGGAGGGTGAGGAGAGGAGGGAGGAAACAAGAGCGTTGCCATCCTGCCCTTGTGCCAGTGCACCTCCTCGTTGGGCATGCCCCCATGATTCCTCATTCACCATCCATCGCACTAGAGTGACATAGCTGCTCATACACAAGAAGGGAACAACAGAGAGAAGCGGGAGGAGAAACGGGGAAAAGGTAGAGAAGGCAAGGGTGAGAAGGGATCAGGGCCAAGAAGCACAGAGACACAATCCATCAACAAGTCACTCTTTGCATTGGGGGGCGTCATTAGAGCCCTTGTGTCCAAAGGCACTGATGACGTCTTCCAGGACGGATATAGACTTGTTCATAAATTCTGCTATCCTTCTGACCTAGACTACTTGACCAGTTTTCCTACGCTAGGTTTCCATAATTCAACTGAAATTGGAGGAAAAAGGAAAAAGGGATTAAAAACGGGTTCAACACGGACATGGCATAATGACCATAACGTCTCCAACAACGACAAACCACAAAGCTTCGACGGGCCGCGAAGCCTTAAAACTGCTCAAACTCACGGTTTCTCCACCAATTTTCCTCAACGTCTCAGCAAATGGTGGCCCAAATGCCGAAGCAGCAGCAAGAGAAGAATCTGCAAGGGCAAGGCACAGCCATCCCACGCTTTGTCTCCACGCACACAGCTTTCAGTACTCACGCGAGGGAGTAAACCACCGGCGTCATGGCGAGTACCAGTCGTCCCTATGCATTCAAAGCGTCTTGAAAGTCATCGCGTCATCTCGAAGTGCCGGTGACGCAATCCCTCCTCCTAGTGATCGCGCACTTCGCGGCGCCAATTGCGGCCAACAACTGCCTTTCTTTCCGGCCAATCAGCGTCGACTGCCCTCGCGCCACGTCAGCAGAATCCGCGTCCGCATCCGCCGCCGCAAATCCCGCTGCAAATACAGGCCTACGTGGGCCGATTCGCCGTGCAGAGCTCGAAGCGCTTCCGCCTCCCCGTGCTCCCCAACGGAGTTCCGCTTCCGCCGGGTGCGCTCTCCGCGGAATGCTGCGTGGAGTGCCAGCAGCGCACCGATTGCGCCTACTGGAACATCCTGCTCCGCTCGCGCCACTGCCTGCTGTTTGCCGCTAACGTTTGCGCCGCTGACGGGCCGGCGGTGTTTCTTCCCGGCGAGGGGAACGCCTTGTAAGTCTCTTGGTCTTTAGAGGTTGAGAGAGACCCGCATAGCTTCCTTTCATGTCCTCCCCTAGCCTCCCCGCCGCGGACGCGCCGGCGGAGTTTCTTCCCGGCGAGGCGCACGCCTTGTAATCGAAATTCCGCGTCTCTCCCCGCGTTTCATTCCGCTTCTTCTCAGCGTCCTATTTCATCCCGTCTCTCCGTTGGTGCTCCTGCTTTCCTTCTTCCGTTTCTCCCTCGTTCCACCCGTCCCTTTCACCTGGCTCCCCTGTCAATCTCTCACCGCATATCTTCCGCATCTTTTGTGTTTTGTGTTTGGTGCTACCATTTTTTTTTAATCCCCGAATGCCTCTTGCAGCATCGGGACTCGATACTGCAACGCAACGACGTCTGTAACGCGTACCACACCCAACGCTGCCAACACCACACAAGACGACAGCACACCTTCCAAGAGCGCGCTTTCCTTTTCGAGGACGCTACTGATGAGGATGAGCAGGAGACGGCGGAGCAGCAGGCAGAGGAGAGAGCAGAAGCGGAGGAGGAGCACGATGCGCATGTGATGGGCGCGTTCGAAGGGGACATGGCGAGAATGCACACGGATGAAGCGGAAGAGTTGAAGATAATGGAAGCAGCATCTCAGATGCCGCCACAGGGCCAGGAGCAGCAGCAGCGTCAGGAAGAGGAGGTGTATCAGAATAACCCTAAGGCGATCGCAACTTTGGAAAAGAGGTAATGCAAGGAGATGAGCAGGCGCGGAAAGAGCAGACGGAGCAGACGGAGCAGCCTCATAGCATCAAAGTCTTTGAGCCTTTCAAGCTCCAGCAGCAGTAGCACCAGGAGGGGAAGGCGCAAGGAGAGAAGAACCCTGAGCATTTCTAGGAGAATTCTCAGGTGATGCAGCAGATTGAGGGGGAGGGCGTGGCAGCGCAACAGGCAGGAGAGGGTGCCACCATTCAAGGCATGGAAGCGTTTGAGGAGGAAGAGAAGGAAGAGAATGGAGAAGAGCGAGAAAAGGAAGAGGCAGCTCAGGCTGTGGCGGTAAAAGAGATGGAGGAGGAGGAAACCCCATCCGCCTCGTGTCCTTCTCCCTTGTTGACCCCAGCTCCCAAATCAAAAGCCAAGCAGCCGCCATGGAAGCAGAGGAGGCGGAGAGAAAAAGCGACGAGGAGGCGAAGAGAGACACAGACGCCAAACAGGCTGCGTGGAGGGACCTGGAGCAGCATGAGATTCCAGTGAAACTGACCTCATATGAAATGGTGGACGCAGATTCTCTTGCCACAATCCAAGCAGCGGTAATGGAAGAAGAGGTGGCGGAGAGGCAGACAGACGCCAGTGCTGCCGCTTTGAAAGACCTGGAGGAGCAAGAAATTCCTGTGAAGCTGACCTCTTATGAGATGGTGGATGATGATTCTCTTGCCGCAAGCCAAGTAGCGGAAATGGAAGAAGAGGCGGCGGAGAGGCAGGCTGACGCCAGTGCAGCCGCTCTCAAAGACGTGGAGGAGCAAGAAATCCCGACGAAGCAGACCTCTTATGAGATGGTGGATGCTGATTGACTGGCTGACAGGCAAGCGGAAGCAACGGAGGAGGAGGCGGTGGAGAGGCAGGAGAGTGAGAGAGCAGCAGTGCTGAGGCAGCTTGAGGAGCAGGAGATTCTAGTGCGGCTAAACCTGAGAGGGCACTGTTCCTTCCACACAGCATCTTGAGCTGAGTCTAGCAAGAAAGACAGCAAGAAGCACAGTGGAAGAGTGGAACAACCTTCGGTCACCTGGTTACCATACTCTTCACTAGAAATTAGTGGTGGGTGTACGTGTATGATCGACACAAGCTCGCGCTTGGTGCTCTGGCTATGGGCTGGGTGGTTTATGTGTACCATGTTGTATAAAATTATACCATATGCATTGCAACGTTTGATTAAGCATTGTTCAATGACCAACCTTATAATGTCCCCAGAGTATTTTTGCATCCAGGAAGGAAGCCTGATGTGAAGTGCAAACAGGTGCTCACAGGTTGACATTGATAAGATACTTTTCTCACTAAAAGATCTATCCCTAAGCTTGATGTTGCAAAAAGTGCACCATTAGGTACACTGCAGAGGTAGAGGAAACAACAATTTACATGTACATTTTGATGGTTTCTGTGTGACTAACCTAGCATACTCTACTAGCATATGGATAGGGAACTGACAGCAACAGTAGAGATCCTATTAGATAATGCTCTCGCTCTATATCAGAAACTTGTACTTGCCAACCTTCATATACAGCGCTTACTCTCAAGGCAGCAGCTAATGGTACTAAAGAAATGCGCTAGGAGTGACTTCTTTACCCAAATGCACGAACACTATCAGCGAAACACAAAAATGCTTTTGAAATGTTGCCTTGACAGAAGAGGAGAAAGGGCTGCGGTTCACATGCCACTCACAATCAGCACCACACCACACCGTCGCCACTACACATTTCTTCACTCACCCAGCCTTGGCTCAGCCTGTAATCAACCCCCCTTCCTCCTGCTCGCCCGCCCTCAAGTTCTCTCCTATGTCCCACCCCTGCCAACCCTCCTCATTCCACTGCCACCTCCCTCCTTGCCAGCTGTGCTCACATTCTCAACTTCGCTTTCACATCCTCTCCCTTATGCTCCTCCACGCACCCTGATTCTCATGAACACAACCCCTTCCTTACTCTAGAGCCCTCTCAATCGAAATCCTCTTACTCACCCACCCTCATCCAACTCCTCCTCCTCCGCCCCATCCCCCTCCCCATGCGCCTGGCTTTCCCAACCTCACCCTCACCCCCTCTCCATACCCCTACTCCGTACCCCCCTTCCTTAAACCGCACCCTCTTAACCAACGTCCTCATCTCTCGCACCTCATCCAACTCCTCCACCCTTGCCCCTGCAAGCTGCTTCCCAAAGAGCACCCTCCTGACCGGTGGTGTTCTCATCTCACATACAAGGAGGGGAGGAGAAAAGAGGAGGGATGAGAGGGAGGGTGAGAAGGGGAGGGAGGTAACAACAGCGTTGCCATCCTGCCCTTGTGCCAGTGCACCTCCTTGTTGGGCATGCCCCCATGATTCCTCATTCACCATCCATCGCACTAGAGTGACATAGCTGCTAATACACAAGAAGGGGACAGCGGAGAGAAGCGCTGTCCCTGTCCCTGTCCCTGTGCCTAACCCTGATGCGAGACAGTGAGGAATCGAACCCATAAGCTTCGGCACTACGGATAAAAAATTGACTATCTAAGCTACTTGGCTTGTGAGAGTAAAAACAACACAATTTGTTGATAGTCGTAATGACATGTTACACTGGCAAATCAGGATTACCTTATTGCCTCAGCCCTGTTCAATCAGGATTTTAAAATAAAAAATTGGAGAGGCAGCCTTGATGGCTCAGGGTCCCCTGAAATGAATCCGAGGGCCTGTTCTGAATATCATACTCGTGGAAACAAGTGCGTGTAGATTTGTTTCTCTAATCTGGTTCTCTTTGTTACCACAAAATATTTCATTTCCCAAGCTTTATATTGGCGGACTATGCACTTTTGGTACCACACTACACAGGTAGAGTAAGATGAGTTGCCATTTACAATTGCTGGATGCTTTGTGACTGCCTGTACGTGCTAGCAGGCTAGCATCTAGACAGACAATGGACATCAAACGTCATGGTTGCCTTCCTTCAAACAACACACTAGTGGTGGTGATGTCAGAATACTGAACGAGAATGAATGAACTATGAATGAGTCGGTTACAAGTACTAACCCTAATTGGGTTGTACCCCTTATGGACTACCCCACTACAGCCTACACAATGTAAGCACTATAACATTTTGACACACCCCCATAGGCAAAATGGGGGAGAACAAGTGGTCACAAGACTAGTCAAGAAAAAGCAAATCAAGCTCAGGGTGGATCACAAAGTCACCACACATTCCGAGCACAAGCAAATGATCACAAGGCCAGTTCACATGCAGAGTTATATAAAAGAGAACAAACAGGACAATGATCATACCCTAGCAAGTGTAAGCATGCAGGTATATATATAGATCACAGTACAAGCAAAGTCACGCAGTGAGCAAGTGAGGCAAAGTAGGTACAAGGCCTAAAACAGTACGGAATCGCTGATGATCACCAGGCTGAAATGCCTTGGTGAATATATCAGCAGTGTTGGCCCGAATGGCCACGAAAGCAAGACAAAGCTGACCACGCTGCTGTAACTCTCGAGCAAGGAAGTAACGCAGAGCGATGTGCTTCGTTATGCGCTCAAGTCTGTGCTCCTAACACAAGGCAATCATGGCCTTGTTGTCTACGTACAGAACTGGAGAAGAACGAGGCCGCTCTCCCAAGTCGGTCACCAGGTAGGTGAGCTAGCGTAACTCCTGTGCAGCCATGGCCCCTGCATAGATCTATGCCTCACAACTGGAGCTGAGAACCGAAGACGAGCGGGTAGACTGCCAAGAAATAGAGCCGGAGCCAAGGCTGAAAGAGTAACCCTGTGACGACCGCTGCGTAGCCAAGTCGTCAACCCAAGAAGCGTCTTCGTGTCCAGTGAGGACAACTGGACCCCGTCCTCCAAGCAAGAGCCCCATGCCCGATGTACTGCACAAGTAGCGCAACTCCCTCTTAGCGGCCTCCCAGTGCTCTGGTCGATGTCTCCCGGGCGCAACGTAGCGTGCCAGGATGCTAAGAGGGTAGGCAAGGTCAGGTCGAGTGCAGGTCATCAGGCAGAGGAGTGGATTGCGGCGAGGAGTACCGGAAGCCGAAGCGCTGAAGGACCGGGTGCACCATGTGTGACGGAGTCAGGGTGATGGTGCGCCGTGCTCTGTCCCGGGTGATATGCAAGCCAAGATAGCTGCGCAGTTCACCCAGGTCAGTGCAGGTGTGTCTCTTTTGCAGCTCCGACTTCACAAGGGCCAGTGCCTCAGTGTCAGCAGTGGCAAAAACCAAGTCGTCGACGTAGACGGGGACGTAGAACGGCTGCAACGAAGTGTCGGTGCGCAAAAACAGCGACGGGTCAGCAGTCGAAGGAGTAAACCAAAGAGCCGCAAGCGACGTCCTCAGTGTGTCGTACCACTCGCAAGGCGCCTGACGGAGAACGTAGACTGGCTGCTGGAGGCTCCACTGGGTACCTGCAGGAAACGACCTAGTGAAGCCAAGTGGGCAGCGCAGCCAGATATCCTTGTGCAAGCTGCCCTGTAAGAAAGCTGTGCTGAAGTCAAGAGAGTGCAGCTTGTAGTCACGTTGAACGGCGATGTGCAGCAGAACCCAAAGAGTGGTCATCTTTGGGGTAGGGGAGAAGGTATGGAAGAAGTAAATTCCTATTGTTGTCTGAAGCCTCGTGCAACGTAACGAGCCTTGAAGACAGGCCGAGAACCCGGCCGCTTCACCCTGAAAATCCACATGCCATCGACTATGTTCGTCCCAGGAGGGGTAACTGCGTCGACGTAGGTGCCTGTGGACTTCCATGATGCCATATTTGCGTCCATGACTGTCTGCCACTGAGACGAGTAGGAACCCATAATCGCCTCTGCGTAAGAGCGCGGGGTCGGGATGTCTGGTGCATCCGGGTCTCCCTCAAGTGCAAGCAGCATGGCCACGAGATGAAATACAGCAGCTGCAAGGCACTCAAAGTCCTCCTGCTTGTCCTCAAGGACGTCTGCGCCAAGAGCACACTCACCCTCGACGGACGGAGGACAGTCAGACTCAAACTCAGCAACAAGACTAGCGGCGTAGTCGAGACGGCAAGCGGCAACAAAGTCAACAAGCTCATCAACTAGGGCAGAAGCAGCAGTGGACTCAAACGAAGGGTCAGTGACAACAGTGGCTAGAAGACGAGGGACAGTTGGACTGGCAGCACGAGCTAAGTCAGACTCAGGGTCAGGAACAGCAGGAAGAGAGGACGCAAGAGGAGGCGGCAGGGGAAATTGGAGTGGAATAGAGGAAGGACGAAGTGCCATAATGTGAGTGCCGGGGACAGGAGCAGGACGTGGACGAGGAACACGACGACCAGTGCGAACAGCACGAACAAGCGAGGCAGGACGAGACTCAGGCTCATGACGCTATGTAAAAGAGTCTGTCTGCTCAGCGTAAGGAGAAGGAGCAGGCAGTGGGGAGTCTGGCTGTAACTGTGGCTGCGATTGGTCAAGCGGTGGACGTAGTAGAGGTGGAGTAAGGCCACTAGAAGACGGGAGACTAAGAACCTGGCAAAGCAGTGTAACGAAAAATGGTCGCGGCCGCACAGTGCCTCCTGAACCAGTAGCGGTAGCTCCAGCACCCCCAGGGCCAGCACCTTCAGCTCCAGGGTCTCCAGCTACAGGGTCTCCAGCTCCAGCGCCTGCAGCACCACCAGCTCCAGCAGCTCCAGTACCTCCAGTACCTTCAGTACGAGCAAGCTAGGAGGAAGGCCAGTAGAAGACGAGAGACTAAGAACCTGTCGAAGTACCGAGTCAGGTGGCGGTAGAGACGACGGCTGCGGCGGAACGAGAAATGGGCGCCGCTGCACAGTGCCTCCTGCACCAGGACCGCCAACTCTAGCACCTCCAGCGCCAGCACCTCCAACTCCAAGGTCTCCAGCTCCAGCGCCTCCAGCGCCAGCGCCTCCAGCTCAAGCGCCTCCAGCTCCAGTGCCTCCAGCGCCAGTGTCTCCAGCTCCAGCTCCTCCAGCAACACCAGCTCCGGCAGCTCCAATACCCCTAGTACGAGCACCTCCAGGACCAGCAGCCGAGCACCTCCGGTACCTCTAGCTCCAGCAATAACTCCAGCACCTCCAGGACTAGAAGCTCCAGCGCCTCCAGCTCCAGTGCCTCCAGCTCTAGGGTCTCCAGCTCCAGATCCTCTAGCTCCAGCACCTCCAGCGCCAGTGCCTCCAGCTCCAAGGTCTCCAGCTCCAGAATCTCCAACACCACCAGCTCCGGCAGCTCCAGTACCTCTAGTACGAGCACCTCCAGGACCAGCAGCTCCAGTACCTCCGGTACCTCCAGCTCCAGCAGTAACTCCAACACCTCCAAGACTAGTAGCTCCAGCACCTCCAGCTCCCGTGCCTCCAGCGGGACAGCCTCCAGCTCCTGCAGCGCCACTCCTAAGGCGTGTGCGCTGAGTAAACCACTCGCGCAGCTGCTGCGGAGACAGTCGTGGCGAGGCACCCGCAGGACCTCGAGCAGACGCAGTACCCCGAGGCTCAGCACCCCCAGACTCCACACCCTCAGACTCCTCACTCCCAGGCTCCGCACCCTCAGGCTCAGCACCCCCAGACTCCACACCCTCAGACTCCTCACCCCCAGGCTCCGCACCCCCAGGCTCAGCACCCCTAGACTCCGCATGCACAGGCTCAGCACCCCCAGGCTCCGCACTCGCAGGCTTAGCACCCCCAGACGCAGCACCCCCAGACGCAGCCCCCCCAGACGTAGCACCCCCAGACGCAGCACCTCTAGCAGCACTTGAGTCTACAGCGTCCTCGACAGGCACAATCCCGCGGAGTGGGTCTACCTGAGACACACCTGAGGGAGCAGGACCCTGAGGGGGGAGGGGGTCTACCGGAGGGGGACATGGAGCAAGGAAGAGCGGCAGAGGGGCAGTGCAGTAGGGGAAGAGACGGTAAAAAGGAACCGACTCGTCAAACGTGACGTCCTGAGAGGGGAGGAGACGGCGCGAGGTGGGGTGGTAAAACTGCCAGCCAGGCGCATCAGGGGGAAAGCCAAGGAAGACGCAGGGAATAGCGCTGGAGGAGAGCTTGTCCGCGGAAGAATTGCGGACTAAGGCACGAGAGCCCCAGACCTGGAACACCGACGCATCGCCAACCTTCCCCGTCCAATGCAGAATAGGCGAGGTCTCCGGCAAGGAGACACGGGGCCAGAGGTTGAGCTGATGCGCAGCGTACCGGACCGCAAACGGCCACAGAAAATGGGGAGCAGCCGCATGGATCATGGAGGTACGAGCCACCTCCATGACTAAGCCAATGCGGCGCTCAGCAATCCCATTTTTCTGCGGGGAGGCCGGAAGCGTGAACGACTGGAGGATGTCCTCCCCACAACAAAAGTCCCGCAAGAGGTTGGAGGAGAACTCACCACCTCTGTTAGAGTGCAGACGCAGGACAGG